CTCTCCTCCGGTGAGCTTCCGTTGTCTAGGAAGAGGTGTGTGATAGCATCTCTGGAAAGACCTCCGACTCCTCGCGATGCCAGTGCAGAGAGAGGTACCATAATTTTTGTGGGAAAAGAAATTCGATCGAAGCATGGAAAATTTTCAATTCAGGGCAACAATTGTAATTGAGATTAGTGTAACCTCTTATTTTCTCTCCCAATAATCTTACGGTTGTAGCTCCAATTACCTCATTCGATTTTCTCTTCTGGCTTGCACTGCGAAATTCCTGTCTTTATTTTTTGGTTCCGTAACAGTGGTGTGGATGTAAACGTGAAGGATAATGCGGGGCAGACGACGTTGCACTGGCGGCAGTTCGAGGATCGATTGCGGTTGCGGATGTGCTGCTGCAGAATGGGGCACAAGTCGAGGCTGCCGATGGTATGGTCATTGTATTCTGACAGATTGACGGCAATTTAGCTTTCTTCACACGCCATTCTTACACACGTCTCTCTCTCTCTCTCTCTCTCTCTCTCTCTCTCTTTTTGTTTGTTCTGAAATCCTTCCCCTTTTCTTAGCCGCGAAGGCCATGCCCTAAAGCTTTCTTGAGCCTCGGCAACAATCTCCAGCCGCATTTGGATCTCCGATCCCTCGATTAGCGCCTCCAGGCACAGGTCGCCGCCGGCTTCGGCGTTCTGGTTCAAACCTTGAATTCTCTTTCTGTCTCCAAGAAATTTGACGTCGGGGCTCCTTTTTCTGTGGAAGAAAGGGCAACCTTTTATGTTACATCGCGTCGACAATGACTGGCGGAGGCAGCGTGTCGGTTGGGAAAGGCGGGTCACCGCCCACAGCCAAAACGCTGGCTTTGTACTCCGTTAGCCGTTATCTGGGAAGAGGAGTCGCACGCATAACCATACTGATGGCGTCTCCAGCAGGACCTCCGACTCTTCCCTTTTCACCAAAAGGTACCATATTTTAAAAAAGAAAAAATCGACTAAAGCATATCAATTTTTAATTTAGGGCAATAATTGTTATTCAGATTAGTCTAACCTCTATTTTTCTCTCAAAATTTTTGTACGTCGGGAGCTCCATTTTCTTCTCAAGAAAGGCGAACTCTTTATAGTACAGAAGAAGAGAACACAGGCCTTCAATCTACCAGTTTGTAGCTCGGGCGACTGATTCTTTAAAGGTGCATTTATTTAATTTTTTCTTAGGCTTTTCATCTTTGATTTTTCAGGTTCAAATCTGATTATAGATGATAAGTCGATAATTACTATTTTTTTTTTTTTTGATGGTTTGAATTCTCAAAATTAATTTTTGGTATGTATCTTTTGTTGTGAATTATTTGTTATTTATTTAGGAATTTCAAATACGTTTTTTATTTCCAAAAGAAGTTAATTTAAATGTAACCACAACAATAACATCTACTCAAGTTAAATAGTCAACACATTATATGGTCAACCGTAAGTAAATAAAAAATTTAAAATAATTTTTGTAATTTTGAAGTGATTAGTGTTTTGATATCTAATAATTAAATGAGAGGTTAAATAAATAAGAAATAACAATTTTTCGATGAAAAAAACTATATTGCCACATAGGTATAATTTAATAAGTTTTATTAAATACTAATGAGCCAGCAATTATACATATATATATACATATATATATATATATAGGGTAATGAGATTTGCAAAAAATATTGGATATTTAATATTTAGTTTTTATTACAGTTATAAAATGAGAAAAGAATATGGCATAGTTGATTTGACCGACTATAAATAATATTTATTTTTTATGAGTGATGAGATTTGCAAAAAATATGAGATATTTAATATTTAATTATTATTAAAGTTATGATATAAGAAAAAAATATGGGATGTTGATGCTTGGAATTTATATAAAGAATTTTTTAAAATTTTGGATTCCCGCATCTTTTTTTCAGATTTTCGCCTCCTATTCAGATAATTTTGAAACAGTAATTATCTCAACTTTTGGAATTGTAATTTGATATTATAATTAATTGGTTTAGTTGATCTTTAATTTTGTTATTTTTGCAGGAATTGACCGGAGATGGAGCATCTGATTTTTTATTTTATTTTAAATTTATTTTTTTGGTTAGTTGTATTTGTTAATAATTAATTTTTTATTTATTTTCATTAATTTCGTTTAGTTTACTATGCATAGAAAAAATAATTTCGATTAAAAAAATAATTAATGAGAACTGTTGAGAGTAATTAATATGTTTAAAAAAATATGGAAACATTTTCATTTTCATTAACCCGTTATAATTGCAAAATTAATTGGTTGTCATTTTTAAAACACTCAACTTTTCAAGAAAATTGAGTTGTTTTTAATAAAGAAAATAAAAAATAAAAACAAATGAAAAGTAACGGAAATTGGCGGGAAAATGCCACCTAGGTATAATTTATGAGGTTTAATTAAATGCAGAAGAGCTAGTAATTATATATATATAGATATCGAAAAATTTAATATGCAAAAAATATAATATGCTGATTGCTATCGGATCTCGCCGATGGTAGGTCCCCTCAACTTGAGCAGTCAATTTGAGTTGCGATAGTTAGCAGACCTGCAGAGAAAGATTTTCTGCAGCGGGTAGAAAAAGTTTCCGAGCTCATTACAAGATGTCGAATACTCTAAAAAGGTATTTTCCATTGTCTCAGGAAATCTTTTCTTGTAGCTCAACATATGTAACACAAGAGAGTGGGGGTATTTATATCATCCAGCTCAAATTGTTTATGGCCATCAACATCCAATTTTGGACACAACAAAGATAATTAGCTGCTGCAAACTTTTTGATTGCTATCCACAATCAAGAATTCACTTCCTTGTAATAAATTAATTACGAGTTTTTGACCTTTTTCCAGTAATAAATTTTAAGGATAGCCCAAGAAAGAGAAAATTGGTTATAAAAAAAATAGGAAAATAAAAAACTCGAAGTATGAGGCCCAACAGTAGTGTTAACAGAATCTATTTCAGTGGCCTCCTGCATTTAAAAGTGCAATTTTTCACTGTTGAACTTAGCATAATTGTGTGTGTGAGTTGATCAGCGCATACTTTGGTTTTCTGATCCTTGCCATTATTTTTTTTTACAGATTTTTTCAATGCTCGGAACATCTCTGGGGCTTCTCCCAGATATAGGTGCTTCATATATTTTTTCAAGACTTCAAGGGTAGTTTGGTAACTCTTTATCTTGTTATGTTTTTCGAATTTCATGTGCTGAGGTTATGCTGCAACACCTTTCTTGTTCGTTTCCCATATTATTTAGTTTTCGTGAGTTGCTGTCATGTCTAATTAGGAAAATGGATTATGCGTATTTGATGAAAATTTTCGTGTATGTGTCGTCTGATGTGAACGATCCGTTGAAGAATATTATCCGGTCTATAACAGCACATACACGATCTGTCGTCTGATGTCAACGATCTATTGAGGAAAATTGTTCGTTTTTTATTCATTTCAAAATTAGTGATGATTAATTATTTTGCCCTTGCTTAACTTCTCAATAAAGAATAAGAGTATAAAGCAGATTAAGATGAAAAACTAGCCCTTCAAGATTTTCGCTTCCCCATTCGATGAGTGAGCCTCCATCACTACCATAGATTTGAGGTATTCAGAATTTTACAAAATTTCACTTTGTGGAAGTCAACCATTATCTAGGATTTTCAATTAAAGGTGTACAATAATTTTTGTAGCTATAAAAAGTTTAATTAACTCACTGTACTATGTACCTTATTTCAAACTTTAATTTATGATTTCTGTGGTTAGATTATTTGGTTGAAAAGGTGGAGCGATACAGACATACAGAAAGATAAGTACAAGTCTGTAGAATTAAATATCTTCTTTTAAAGTATATTTTCTTATAGAGTTGATGTTATGAACATGGTAGGAGAATTAATTGGGAAGTGGATGGTTGTTTGTTTGAAAAAGGCACGGCCCTCCACTTTTTTGAGCTGATTTTTTGTGATGACCATACAATTATTTAAGTTTCTTCATTTATAGGTTGGTTGGGATTGGTTTGCTGCCAACGAACGATTAAATTTTGATATTTTGACCCAAAAGTTATAGGGATGCATGGTTCATATCCTGCTTTTCTGTAGGATAACTGTACCTTTTTTTCTTGCTTCTACCATTGTTTGTGTATATGTAGGATTGATCATTATACTACTGGTTTTAGATGTGAACCAGATATATTACTGTTTATTTTCATGGTGGCTTCTGGAATATAATACCAAATATTCTTCTAATATTAGAAGGTGGAAAATGCTAAGTTAATGACGAATGCGTTATTCAGGATGAGACAGTCAGTGCTAGGCAGGATTTTGTTGTTGGTCCTGTTAGGATGGGGATTCTTTCAAGAATTTATCGTCTCTTGGAGGTTAAAAAATGTTTTGATGTTGATTGCCTTAAATTTTATTTCAGCTTGACGAAACTTAAGTTATGAAAATTATAGCCTTGTAAAATGCTAAATTTAATATTCTTTTAGTACTAGATTGATCCTCTTCCACGTTTTGGAAGGTTCTATAGCAAGGTATTCCCATACGTGTACTACTGCAACTTTAGATTCTTAAAGGCTTGTTAATATAGTAATCAACAAATTCAGCTCTAACGAGACTATGAAAATATGTCTTAGCAAGGTGAGTAGTCTCATTTTCATTGCTTTTGGATTAAGTTTTGCTAGCTTCTGTTGGTCTTCTAATTTCTTACATCCTCTCTTATCCTATGTGAAAACGTAACAGCTTCTTAACAGGTGTTCTGCCAACATTGCATCCACTCTAAATTGGGTCAAATATAAAATCATGAAAGTGATGGTAAGGTTGTATGCTTCAATTTCAGCCATGAAGCGACTCTAACTATTGGTTCATGTTAGTTTGTAGATTAAACAACTATCACCACTTGATTTTAATTTTCATTTTTATTCCTTGAAACTTCTGATATGGAGGACAATGACATGTTAAAGGTTACACACACACACACACACACACAAACACACAATCGGCAGCGCCCTATGTTGCAAATGTGGCCTTCTTACAGCCGCATGCAAACCCTTTTCTATGCCAGGGGTCGTACTGACAATCAGCTTTTCTTGCCAACTCGGACAGCAATAATTTCAATTCCTCCTGCCACAGGATGCCGTTGGCTATGGAATTTTGGGCCACTTGTGAAGCCTTTTCTAAGCAACATAAATTTGATGAACCCTTTTACCCGAGGCAGAGATTTTTTTTTTTTTTTTTTTTTT